ACCTGGATTTGGTGAGCCGTGAGCTCGCCGGCCTCGGCCGAGCTCGAGCTTGCCTGGATTAGTTGATCCTCGAGCTCGCCGGCCTAGATGGAGCTCGAGCTAGCAAGCCGCAAGCTTGCCGGCATGCGTCTTGGCCAGTCATCGGGCTACTAACCATCGTCGAGCACACGGCCGGCGGAGGAAGGAAGAGGAAGGAAAAGAAAGAAAAGAGAAAAGAAGAAAAGACCGAAGAAAGAAGAAAAAAGAAAAGGAAATGAAAAAGAAACGAAAGAAAAAAAAAAGAAAAGATTAAAAATGATAAAAAAAAATTCGATTTTTTAAAAATAAAAAATATTAAAATTTTAATTTTTTAATAAAAATATTTTATAAGAATAATTTCATTAATCAAGAAAAAAAAGAAAGAAAAGAAAAGAAAATATATTAACAAATTCAAGATGAACAATTTCGAAAAGTATTTTCACTGATTCTTTTCACCTTCTTAGATTAGGGAATTCACTTTCTTAATTTTATACATGAATATTTTCCTTGATTGAAAAGTGTTTTCGGTTGACTTATCATTTTCGGCGAACAAAACGGGTGAAAGTCCGAAAAACAAATTCCCAGAAAACACTTTTCTTCAAACAAACACACCCTTAAATTAAATTAATTTCAATTACCATCAAAGAAAGCACCAATGGTCTAGTGGTAGAATAGTACCCTGCCACGGTACAGACTCGGGTTCGATTCCCGGCCGGTATAATCCCCAAAGAGCCGTGACGACCTGCGATCGTGATCGTTGATTCAATCACGCTCACTAATCCACAAAGGATCAAACATTCTCGCAAACCCTGAGCTCTTGTGACATTATGAAATTCGACCCATTTTCGGGACTTATGAAACGATTATCTCATCGATGCACTTTAGTTAAATCTCACTCGGAATTGATCACTCTTGAGAAGACTAACCGCTAGGAAATGGCTAGCTAGGAATCAAGTACGTGGACTTAAAAACTTGGCCGTGAATCGACACTTCGACCATAAGGATTGACGAGGAGATATTTTGAGCCATTATAGACCGATCCAAGGATGGTTATGGAACGATTCGCAAATGTTGTATAATTGGATCGCGGGTAATTCCACTTGACCATTGTATGAATTTCGAACAATCCTAAACCTAATCCGAACGATCGCGTCAATTGGAACTAGTGGTTGACCCTCACAATTACATGACAACCGAGGTCGCCATGACTCGAGTAAACTTAGATGTGGCCCGATATCGAATCGGCCACGAGTCGATACGCGTAACTCCTAAAAGCCACCCGCTAGTTTGAAACACACTAAAGTTGCATTTAATCGAATTTGACCATTACTTGGAATCCGGACTTGGGAATCGAATTTCTCGAAAGCCACGACTAATTCATTGGATGACGTCACATTTGGCGTGGCCAACCTTAGGGCCACTCGGATTTGTCGAAAAAGTGAAATTTGGATCGGGAATGGAAAATGACCATTTTGCCCCTAGGATTATTTGAGTTCATTTGAAAAATGGAAGGGCATTTTGATAAAGTTGTTGTCCCCATGCTGGCCGAAAATATTGGACCACAATGCCCCTTTCTCCTCTTGTTCATTTCCTTTTTTGCCCCTAGGAGTTAGTGGAGTTGACCAATCTTGACCATTGGATTTGGATAATGAAATGGGAAGTTTAATCTTAGCCCTTGGATTGGTACAGTGAGGATAGTTTATAGAGTTTTGAAGTGGGGTGGTTGACCCACCACACTCATCCCATTTTCATAAACTCTTTTCTCTCTCTCTCTCACTCTCTCTCTCTCTCTCTCTCTCTCTCTCTCTTCCCTTTTTCGCCCGCTGACTTCCCGCTGATCCCCACTAACTCCACCAACTCCTCCCCTTCTTCTTTTTCTTCTTTTCTTCTTTTCCTTCTTGGCTTCTGCCCCTCGCTACTTCGCTGCTGCTGCTGCTTCCGTTTCTGCTTTCTGCTTCTGCTTCTGCTTCTACTTCGCTACTGCTACTTCTTCTTCACTTCTGATTCTTGTTCTGCTTCTCATTTCCAGCCAGCGACCAGCCTTTTCCTCACCGGACCAGCCACCGCCAAGGGCCGCTCCACCCTACCGTCACACCACTAACACCCCAACTCTTCCCCTGGTCGTGCAGCACCGCCTCTGCTGCCCTGGAACAGCCCGTCGCCGGCTGTTTTCCAGCCAAGGCGGGTTGCGCCTCTCGCCGGTTTAGCCGCCATCCGCTTTCGCCGCTACCACCCTCCCTTGCCACCACCATCAGCTCAGCATCACCACCACTAGCCTCGGTACTACCATTTCTCTCCCGCTGGTGCCGCCCAAGCTGCCGACCGCCGCTGCTGTTGTTCTGCTGACCTTATTGCTGCCCCTTTCCCTGGGACATTCTTGTCTAGACTTGAGGTAAGTGGCTCCCTAAACCTTCTCTAGGATATTGGGTACTAATAGACTTGTTTAGAGGCTGTTAGAGGTGGATTTATGGCTGACTTAGTTGCTGGGGGGGATAGAACGAGCTGAGTCGGTTTACGGCCTAATTTGTGGTGTTTTGGAGATTGATTTAGGGGCTGTTCAGGGCTGGTTTAGCTGCTGGTTTGGTGGACTAATGTTGATTAGTAAATAAAATGAAATGTGGACTAAAATGTGTTGGAATGGCGAGTAATGTTGTGGCTGGTTGTTGCCTGTCTAGTGGACTGATTTAATGCTCGATTTGTGTGTTAGATGTGACGAATTGGTGGCTGGTTGTTGTTGCCCATAGGTGACTGATTGTGAATGTGTATTTATGGCTTTAATTGGTGGAACCGTGGCTGATTTGGTGGGCGTGTAAACTGATTTGTATTGCTGGTGATTGAGCACATTCGAGTGATGTTTGAGCGCGTGAATGACATAGAATTGAATGAGTCATGTGGCGTGTGTGATCACCTAAGTGCCCTGATGCGTCTTTACGCGGGGAAATGATAATAAATTATGTGACGGAGTATACGTTTGATCACTTAAGCCCTGATGCGTCTTTTCGCGGGGATTGAACCTGTCCTAAGGCGTGTTACGTGGGACGATGCCCGGTTAAGCCGGAAGACTGCCAGCCTGATGCGTTTTACGCGGGTTGTGAATAATCTGAACGGAAAAGCGGGTGCGTGTTGTGCATTGGTGTATGCAGTGTATCGAGACTGAGATGTGATCATGTTCGGTTATTGCTAGTACACGTGCATGTGTAAGTCATATCCGGGATTGTACGTGTCCGTGAGTTATTGCTGCATTATTGCGATTTGACTAACATGCAAGGCTTGTGCATATTTCGAGATGAGGTAGGGATGTCTGTTATTGTCATGGCATGTTGATAGTTTGAATCTCGTGCTTAAACTTGTCCGGAAGTACGTGTTGGCCTATGCGGGGCTTAGGTTGTTCACTTATTGAGACTCGTTCTCATAATTAATCGTGAACCATTTCAAACCCCTGACCATGACTTTGCCACCTCGACGTTTTGGGGTCCCCATGCATACGGATCATGTGGAGACCGAGTATCCAGTGGGCGTAGTTATGGCATACATTAGGCATTTTACTACAGTATGGGTAGATGAGGGCTTAGAGTTCTGGAGGCCCCACCATTTCCTAGCTTGGTATTACCGGATGGGGGCGGAGATCATTGGCCCAATCCGTGGCTTTGAAGGTCCCCACCACGGCGGTGCGGACGCTATGGATTGGGATCCCTCGGAGACTTTTGCCCCGGATGGCAAAGTCATCGACCTTGAAGACCCTCCTGAAGACTCTATCTCTAAGCCAAAACCCATGGAACCTAATCCCGAGTCAGAGCCTGAGGAGTCCGAGTTGGAGGAAGAGCTCGAGCCAGAGGAGCCTATGGAGGATGATGACATGGCTGAACCTGAGACGCCACCAGGGTATCGTGAGGACAAGTGATCGGTGTAGTGGCCCGTCTTTTGAGGAACCCTCTTTTGGTATGGGGAAGTTAGGCTACCCAACCACCGGCCATTTTTTATGAACGTGGTTTAATGTTAATGGCCTAGTGTATGGTTGTGTAAATAAATGTTGTAAGTATGCCAAGTGTATGACCATGTTTGTTGTTATGTGTTCAAGCGAGTTCCCTACTATCCCGTGTAATTGAATTGTTGTATAGGGTGTTTGATTTTGTTTCTGCTTGTGCATGATCGTTAGTGTTTCTCTGGGTCGGCAATGAGTCCTGAGACATCGCACTATTATCGACCTAAGCGGGATGTTGCGCGCACACTGGGTTCGGGACATGACGGCTCTTACTTTCCCTTTTTGTGTTTTTACTTTTATAAAAAAATTCCTCTTCCATCTTCCATTTTTCCTTTTACTATTAAAGAGAGTAGCGGTAGAAATAGTAATTTTTTTCCAAAAAGTTTCTTATTGAATGACATGGCGAACGCAATTAAGGGTACTTGAATGAGTTAAGTAAAAATTTGAGGCGGCCCACAACTTTGAAAGTACAACAGGCACGGAAAAGACTATTCCGTTGGGTGTCCTCTCTTCGCAGGGCAAACAACAATCACCTGATGACGCAGTTGACATGCTTGCCCACATCATCCTCTATTTCTTCTTCATCCACTCATTCATCTTTGTATATGTCGCAATCGTGCTCAACAACATTGGCCATCTTCCACCATGGGCAGTCGCCTGAACAATGGCCCAGTTCATTACACTTGTAGCATTTGATTGGTTGTGGCTTGGTATATGGGTTCTAGATAGTCTGATTAGTATTACGGTTGTTTGCAGCGACTGGTTCCTTGAGTTTCCCAGCAATACTCCCTGAAGTTCGGTTCATATTGCCAGTTTACTGGTTGGATGATTTTGAAACATCTAGTTTTGTCCCCTTTCCAAATAATCCACTAGCAGAATCACTGTTAGCCCGATTAGTGGGGCTAGTTCTCTCCAGTTGCATCTTAACCTTTTAGGCGATTTCTTGGTCATCCTTAAGAGAGAACAAACGGTGTAGTGAAACACAGTCTTGAATGTTGAGTCACAAGTCATTGATGTACTTGGCAATCTGTTGTGCCTCTAACTCAATCAGGTTGTTGCGAGCAGAGTGTCGGAGAAATTCCTCCGTGTAGGCAATCTGCTTACAATTTTGGAATTCCTAAAATAGTAATTGTTCATAATTGGTTGGGAGGAACCAAACCTTCAATATTTGCTTCATCCTATTACACTTTCGGATGGGAGCTTTTCCTTGTTAGCGTTGGGTCAGTTGTGTCTGCTTCGACAAAGCTTAGGCGCCGCCATTCATCTTGTATGCCACCAATTATACTTGGTGGTCCTCTTCGATCTCCATGGCATCAAAGAATTTCTCAACTTTCCAGAGTCGGTCTAGAAAGTCTTCGATATTCAAGTTGCCATTGAAGGTTGGGGTCTCATCAGTATCTCCCGTTCTGATGGCCTCCACAAACAAGCCGTCTAGGAACTCTTCTTCTTCTTCGAAGTCCTTGACATAGGCTCGTCACCTCTGTAGGGGATTTTCCCCATGTTCAGTAGCTACTTCTGGAACTTGAGCGGCTTAAGCATGTTCAGCCAGAAAATTACCCGGTATGGGGTTGGTGGACGAACGATGGATGACAAGTAAGTCTTGAAACCTCCGTTCGGTTTGTTCCGCAATGTGGTTGAACTCAGCCTGTTTAATAGGCTCATTTTCACGGCCCTTAGCGACAAGGATATTGACATTGACGTTATTAGTCATCATTACAAAAGAGACCTGCTCTGATACTAAATGACGCAGAGGAAGATATATTTGGAAAAGACCAAAAGGATAATGTTTATTCTAAATAATGAAGTATTGTTTACAATATCTTATGAACCTATTTATAGGGAGGTCACCTTTTAAGAAACACAATTAAATAATTAAAATCAAATAACATAATTAAGGAAAAATATTGATAAAGGGGAAATTTTTCAAAATGAGTCCCGAAAATTTACAAAACACGTCCAAAATCTTTGAAGGCTCAAAAATCAAGGTTTTGATTTGATATGTAGTACGTGTCATAACTCCTCCCAGATCAAAAGTTATGATTGTTCGAAGTTGCCCATCATTTAAAGTGTAGGTGGAACCGCCAACTTTTATGACCCTAGAAGGTTTCTATATAAGCATTTGCCAGCTGTTTAACATCAATTTCAAGACCCAAAAACACTTGGGGAGAAATACTCAATTGTGTTTTTGCATTTCTTAGTGGAATGTCATTATATGCCCTCTGCATTATAAAAATAGGTTAATACCACGAAAAACCCCAAACTGGTACACCTGTGATAAATTTACCCGAAACTAATTTTTTGATAACCAAAAATCCCAAATTGGTACACCTGTGATAAATTTACGCTAAACTAATTTTTTGACTACAAAAAATCCCAAAATGGTACTATCGCGCCGCGTTTTTTTTTTTTTGAATTTTTGGGATTTGCGCATTAAGGAGGTATTTCCGTGCAAGGGTCTCTCCCAGACCATACCTCACGTGACAGCAGATGGTAATTTTCTATTTGATCTAAATTTTTGATTTTGGAGTCGCCACTAGTCATTGTTGGTAGGTTGACTAGAAATCTAATCGGAGTACGGGAGAAAACCACGATTCTACGAACCAGAGATTCTGAGTACGGGGACTTGGTTACATTAATGATCCCAAATTGAGATCTCTAACGCCCTTTCGGTACCTAAGCACGATACGATGTCTAACGTGTCACACAAGTTTCCGAGGCTTACCCACTAATCCTATCCATTCTAATTACGGGAAAATCAATCAAGAATTAAATGCGCAATCAATATCAATCAAATCAATCAATCCTAAATTGTCTCTAAAAATCAAAATGCACCCAAAAACATCCAAATCCTAATGAAGCCCTAAAGGCTTGTTCATTTCATGATTTTTCTTTTTAGGGTTTTAGGGTTTTAGGATTTTTTAGGGGTTATAACCCCTGAATCTGAGGTTTTCTAAAAATGCCACTTGGGCACTTCCAAAAATTCAAATTTCACTTTCCAAGGTTGGCCACAGTGTTTTTGAACCATTATGTGAATTTTTGAAATTTTTGATTTTTTTTTTCGGAAATTGAATTTCTGAGAATTTCATTAACCGAGAATTGATTTTTATGAATTTCTGAAAAAATTTATGAATTTTCCAATTTTCCAATTTTTTTTTTAGATTTTCTGAATTTTTTACATTTTTTTATTTTTTTATTTGTATTTTTGGAATTTTCTGGATTTTTATGAATTTTCTAAAAAATTTTGAATTTTTATGAAATTTTCTAATTTTTTGAAATTTTTATGAATTTTATGAAATTTTCTAATTTTTTTAGATTTTTCTGATTTTTTTTATTGAAATTTTGAATTTTTTAGATTTTTTAAATTTTTTATTATTTTCCCGCCAAGAAACGAACCGAACCGGCCCGGTTCAACCAGTTCAATCAAGTCGAACTGGCTTGACTGGCGCCTTGCCGGCACTCTGGCGGGAACGGTGCCAAAAACGGTGCCGTTTCCCTCTTTCTCTTTGGGACATTTTTACAAACACATGGTGTGCATGATACTCATTCTCAAGTTCTCAAGGCTGTAACTTTGAATCATTTTCCGACGACCTTCCAATGGTTTTCCTGCCACTTCCTTGGCTCCTAGATCAACTATCACACTTCTTCTAACCACCTAGCTTCACCAAATTGCAGCCAGACAAATGTCGGCCGGCGCAAACCGAACCTAAAAATCTAACATTGAAACTATTCTAACAAGCATTTCAAGCATTTAGTTTATCTAACTAGACGTCCTAGCCGTTTCTATCAATCAAACAACGATCATAACAATCAAAGAAGATCAGAAATGCTAACTTGAATGGCCATTGGCCATGGAAAAGGGCTCCGGTGAGGTTGGATATTCCGGCGAAGGAGGGGTTTACAAAGGCTGACCCACGGTTTAGCGATCCAAGATGCAACAAACAATGAAACATATGATCAGAAACATGTTTTAAGCATCAGTAATCTCAAAATCATAAAGAAAATCACATAATCAAACATGATGGAACTCGAGTGCCTATTATGGATTTTTGTCAAACATGTTATAGATGATTGTGAACAAATTTTACCTTCTTCGCCGGAGCTTTTCTGAAATTCTGAACCAATTGGCGACTTCAGGGTGATTCCTTGATGTCTGTTCTTGATGATGATGACCTCTGCTTCGCTGGGAAGGTCCTGGATTGACCAACCGGAGCTCGGTTTCAGAGCTTCACGGTCAACTCGCCTTGGCACCTCCGGTGAGGAGGTTCACTACAAGGATCGATTTGCCAGCGATTTTCCTGTCGGAATAGCGCCAATCGCTCGGTCTTAGGAACCTCTACCCACTCTTTCTCTAAATCCCTCTCTTTCTCTCTCTAACTCTCTCTCTATTTCTCTCAGTCATTTCGTCGAACGCTTCCTCTACCTAATGTTCAGTTTTCCTTCGTTTTTGTTGATCAATTTTCCTGCCCAAATTCAGTTAGAACCGACTTAGAATCAGTTAGGATGATTCTCTGGCGCCAGCTGGAGATTCTCCAGCTAGCCAACTTGATTTTCACGTGCTAAATCGATCAGGGAAGGTTCACGAAGTCGCGGGTTTAATTTGATTTTTTTCTGGGTTTGGCACGTTCTGGGCGAACCAGGTGAAGAAGGTGACTGACCCGGGTCGGGTCGAGTTGACCCAACTGACCCGGCAGACCCGGGTTGGTCTAAATTTACAAATTCGACCCGATTTTAACCCAATTTATCAAATTTAACCCCAAAATTGAATTCCTCATCACATTTTGAACCCAAATATGTGATTTTCCCCAATTTTTATCAAAATCATGTCCTAGATTTTTAACTTTTTGTACTCGGGTTATTGGGTCTTTGTTCAATTCAATACCTTAATGACCTGAGTAGGCAAAATCGGTGCCAAAATTGAATTACCCACATCTGATTAACCCTAGAAATGATGGTATCATGATTCGACAATTTCGAATTGGGCACGATTCCCAATTTGGGCTCAAAATTCCAAATTTTCAATTGAATTTTGGGGATTTTTATTGTTATGACAAATTGTACAATTAGGCTGACCATTATGTAATTTAAGGTCCCAGAATCATTTGTTGTGAAGACACCATGACTTAAAAATGACTAGAAAAGATTTAATTGCATTTTTGGTTCAATTCGGGTTTGATTTTGCCCAATTTTGGGAAAAACACATGCCCGATTAAGATTTTCTAAAATTGATGATGCATTAATGAAATTGGATTTAAAAGAAGACTAATGAATATTTTTATGGAATTTTCTGATTCCATTTGCTATTTTTCTTGATTGTCTCACTCATTTTGATTAAAAGAAATTATAGGAAAATTCAGGAAAATGCTAAAAAAAATCATTTTTGGTTTAGAAATAGGTTTCTAGGCTTGACCAAGATTCCTAATCCTAATTTTGAGATTTTTGAAAATATGAAAAAAATGAGCCAAAAATCATGTGTCAACAGGTACATTTATGACAAATTTACCCTCCATTAAATTGGATTAATACCATGAAAAATCACAAATTGATACACATGTGACAAAGGAAGGATAAAACCCTAAACCGGAATACCCTTCAACTACCACATGTCATCTAACGCAAAAATTGGACGGTAAAATTCGATGGAAACTAGTGGAGGGTAAAATTGTCACAGGTGTACCGGTTTAGAGTTTTTGGCAGTCAAAAAATTAGTTTGAGGTAAATTTATGACAAAGTGTACCAGTTTGGGGATTTTCGTGATATTAACCCTCTAAAAATAATATTTTGTACCTTGCCCTATAGTCTGAGTCGACCTCTAATGCACAGATCGAAAACGAGAGAACTCCGTGGCTATTGATCAGGTTCACTTCCTAGCCCCTTGCAAATATTGGAGAGGGTGAAGATCGGCACTCTAATAATGTAATGAAAAAATGACGAAAAACTAACCCAACATAGTTATTGCAGAAAATGTCACCCATTGCCTCTCATGCTGATTAAAAAAAAAATCAATTTGCCCTAGAAGATTTATGAATAACAATTCAACCTGTAGCAAAGATTTTAGAGAAAATTACAAAAACCTGAGCAAAACGTATCAAAAACTATTCTCACTTGTAAAAATCTTCAATTTGCATCTCCTCCAAATTCAAATGACACATTTGACTCCAAACTACGCCCATCTCTTTCCCCTTGCTCTCTTTTCTCCACTCGGGATAAGGACACCACAAGTGCCATGACTTTCTTATGATCGCTCACTTGAGTGACATAACTTTTTTTTCAATCACTTAAGTGCCATGATTTCTTAAAAAAAATAAACTCAAGTGCCATAACTTTTAAAAAAACGTTCACCAAGTGTCGGAAATCCAAACTAGTACGGCACTTGTGGTAAGTGAACATTTTTAAATAGTTACGACACTCAATTGATTGATTGAAAAGTTAAAGGATTAATACCACCAAAAACTCTAAACTGGTACAGTTGTAACAATTTTACCCCAAACTATTTTTTTTACCACAAAAAACCCCAGACTGGTACACTTGTGACAAATTTACCCCGAACTAATTTTTTGACCACCAAAAACCCTGAACTGGTATACTTGTGACAATTTTACCCCAACTAATATTTTAATATTATTTTTTATTTTTTCAAATTTTTTTATTAATTTTTTTTCTTTTCTTTTCTTTTCTTTTTTTTCCTTAATATTCTTCATCTTCAACCTCTGGCCGGTCGTCGAACCGGCGACCAGCCAGAGATGGAAACCGGCGAGGTCGGCCCCGCCGGCCGCTGGCGAGGCTCGACCTCGCCGGCGTTGGGCGAAGCCAACCTCACCAATGGCCGGCGAGTTCGAGCCTCGCTAGATCTGCCGAGGGCTCGACCCCGCCGTCCGTTGGCGAGGTCGGCCTCGCCCAGCGCCGGTGAGGTCGAGCCTCGCCAGTGGCTAGTGGGGCCGAGCCCTCGCCAGCTCTGGCGAGGCTCGAACTCACCGGCCGCTGGCAAGGTTGACCTCGTCATGCAACGGCGAGGTCGGCCTCGCCCAACACCGACGAGGTCGAGGCTCACCGACTTCCGCCTCTGGCCGGTCGCCGGTCCAGCGACCGGCCAGAAATTGAAGATAAAGAAGATTAAGGAAAAAAAGAAAAGAAAAGAAAAAATAAAAAAAAATTCGAAAAAATAAAAAATAATATTAAAAGATTAGTTGGGGTAAAATTATCACAAGTATACCAGTTCGGGGTTTTTGGTGGTCAAAAAAATAGTTTTGAGTAAATTTATCACAAGTGTACCAGTTTGGGGTTTTTTGTGATCAAAAAAATAGTTTGGAATAAAATTGTCACAACTGTACCAGTTTAGGGTTTTTCGTGGTATTAACCCAAAGTTATATGGCAATTAAGTGATTAGCAAAATAGTTATAGTATTCAAATGAGCATTTTACACGACTTACCAACGGAAAAAAAAAATTATAGCACTCAAGTGAATGTGCCATACAAAAATCATAGCACTTGTGGTGTCATTTTCCCTCATCCACTCTCATGCTTGTGCGCACTGCACAACAAAGTATCTCTCTCCACCCCTTGTTGCTATTGCCACCGTCGCCCCACATCACCTCCAATGCCTCTTGCAGCCAAGCCCCTCGCCTCGACTCACCATTTCTCCTCTCTCTCTCTCTCTCTCTCTCTCTCTCTCTCTCTCTCTCTCTCTCTCTCTCTCTCTCTCTCTCTCGGAGCTCATAGCTCGCAGCCATGGGAGCTCGAGCAAGCCGCAAGCTCAACATCAACCTGGATGGGCTCGATCCCAAGGCTTGCGCAAGCTTGGCGAGCTCTGTGACAAAGCACGCAAGTCCCCAATGGGAGACTAGGCCTTCATCTGGACCAAATCGGGTAGCCCCACCTCGAGAACGTTGATGACAGGAGGCTAGGTCGAAGGGCGGTGGCCGGCCGTGATGGGGTAGGAGAGAGATGGTGGAGGAGGGAGAAGTGTATGATAGAGTTTTTGGGTCTTTTTCAAGGAACGATGACTTTAATTTATAAAGAATGATAGCAAAAAATCTCATGAGATTTGCATCCACATATCAAATTTCATCCCCACTTTCACATCAACTTGCGTCCTCAAAACCCCACTTTCACAATAACTTGTGGGGCAGACGACACCACAGATCTCGTCCAGATTGAGGTTAGGCAACCCAATATGGACCTAGTCTCCTATGGCGCCTGCGCCTTTGTGAAAGAGCTCGCATGGCCACCGCAAGCCATGCAATGAAGCTCTGTGATGGAGATCGCCAGGCTCGTGCGAGCTCTATGGGGCCAAACTCCAGGCTCACCGGAGCCCATCTCAGTCAAGCTCGACTCAACCTCCCATGCTCACAAGCCGCAAGCTCCATGAGAGAGAGGAAAGAGGGTGGCTCGTCAAGGCGAGGGGCACCAAAGGCGGTGGCAGCGGCAGAGAGAGAGAGAGAGAGAGAGAGAGAGAGAGAGAGCTACGTGTGACTAAGTGAGGAGAAGGGTGGAGAAAGGGAGAGGGAGGGGAAAGAGATGGATGTAGCATTTGGGGTAAATGTGTGCTTTCAGACCGAAGGAGATGCAAACATAAGATTTTCAGAAATGATGATGATTTGTTATATGTAAGTATTTATTCAAGATACTTTTTGTAATTTCCCCTTTCTAAAACAAGTAGGATATCAAGGATACAAATTGATGTCAAAGTGGCATAATCACGATGCAAGTTGCAGGTTTCAAAATTGGAGGCAGTGTTTGATGGGAAAAGTATCAAAAAAGTCCTAAATCTATTACATTTGTACCAATTCAGTCATAATTCTTTCAATTTGATCAATTTAGTTGTAAACATTTTGCATTTGTGTCAATTGAGTATTTGGCTAATTTTGGCCGAAAATTGCTGACATGGATGCCAGCCGTCCTACATGGCATGATTGGCACTGACTTGGACAAATTTTATAAATTTTAAATATTTTTTGTTAATTTATTATTATTTCTTTTCTTTTTTCTTTCTCTTTTCTTTTTTTTCATTATGGCCGGGGTCACCATTGCCCGAAATAAAATAAAAATAATTAAGAAAAAATATGCAAAAATTGTAAAATTTCTATGTCAGCGCTAGTCGTGCCAGATCATGTTAGCAATTTCTAGCTAAAATTAGTCAGATTGACTCAATTAACACAAATGCAAAATGTTTATAATTAAATTGGTCAAATTGAAAGGTTTAGACTGAATTGGTATTAATACAATAGGTTTAGAATTTTTTTGTATACTTTCTGGCATTTGATAGGTGAATTCAAATTTCATGAGATTCTTTGCAAAAATACCTTATTTTTGTCCCTGGAGCTGCTTTACCCCGCGGGGTCAAATTGACAAGACTATAGGAAACAACGACAGAAAGAGCAAAATATGAAAGTGGATGATGTTCTTCGCCGGGAGATCGTGGTGATCCTTTTCTTACACCGGGTGCTTTGCGAATGGATCCAAGACAGATTCTTGAAGAAAATAAGTGATAAACTTTGAAAAAGAGATAGAACTGCACCTACTGTACTTTTTAAACCGTCAATCATAATGGTGGACGTATTAAGTATTTCTTACACCAGCAGCAAACCTAACAAAAATCCATGAGTTAATACCATGAAAAACTCTAAACTGATACACCTGTGACAAATTTGCCCCAAACTAAGGGCGCGCATGGTAACATTTCTATTTCAGAAATCAATTTCTGGCCAAAAATAGATTTTTGTATTTCTATTCCATGGACGAGTTTCTGAGCAAAAATGTGTGTTTGATAATGACACAAAATTTATGTTTCCGAAATAGAAATTCGTTTAATAATAACACAAAATTTCTCCCTTCTGAGCAGCCGGCAGAGGATGGCGGGTGGCGGCAGGGGGCGGAGGACGATGGCCGACGGTGGGAGGCAGCCGACCGGCAGGAGGCAATCAGCGCCGGGCGGTGGATAGCAGCGACGGTTGCCGGGGGCGGAGGGCGGCCGGAGGCAGCGGGCATCGGGCGGTGGAGCACGGTGGTTGGCAGTGGAGGACGGCGGTAGGTGGTGGGCGGCCAGCGGTGGGAGGCGGTCGGAGGCGGAGGGCGGCCGGTGGAGCACGACGGCCAGTTGCGGAGGACGGCGACCAGTGTCGGCCGGCGGAGGATAGTGGTCGGCAACAAGAGGCGGCCGACGGGCGGGAGGTGGCCAGCGGCAAAGGACGGTGGTCAGCGGCAAGAGGCGGCCGGCAGGCGATGGCCGGTGGTCGGCCGGCGGTAGGGGGAGCCGGCCGATAGGTGGCGGCGAAGGACGACAGGAGGCGGCAGTGGGCAGGTTGCAGCCGACGTTAAGCAGTGGCGAACAACAGAGGATGACGGTGGGAGGAGGCGGTCGGCGAAGGATGTCGGCCGACGGCCGACGGCGGGAGGCGGCCGATGGCAGGAGGCGGCCGGGGGTGGCGGGAGGCGGTCGGTGGCAATAGCGAGTGGCAAGGGGGTGGTCGGCTAGTAGCGACAGCGAGCGGTAAGAAGAGTTTTTATTTCTCATTTCTGTTCTAGAAATAGAAAAGTAATTTTTTTTTTACTTCTGATTTATGTTCCAAACCTATTTCTGGAATAGAAATTTGTTCAGAAATAGAAAAGTAAAATTGCGTTACCAAACGAATTTCTGTTCCAAACCTGTTTCTGGAAACAGAAAAATAGAAAAATAGATAAACATAAATGATTTCATGCGCACCCTAATTTTTTGACCACCAAAAATCCCAAACTGGTACACCTGTGACAATTTTACCCTCCATTAGTTTCCGTTAAATTTTACTGTCAAATTACTAAGTTTAATTACACGTGATAGTTGACAGGTGTACCGGTTTGGGGTTTTACCCCTCTGTTTGTCACAAGTTTACCAATTTGTGATTTTTTGTGATATTAATCTAATTTAACGGACACTAACGGAGAGTAAATTTGTCACAAATGTACCAGTTTGAGGTTTTTAGTGGTCAAAAAATTAGTTCGAGATAAAATTATCACAGGTGTACCAATTTGGGGTTTTTGGTGATCAAAAAATTAGTTTGGGGTAAAATTATCACAAGTGTACCAGTTTGGGGTTTTTTGTAGTCAAAAAAATAGTTCGGGATAAATTTGTCACAGGCATACCAGTTTGGGGTTTTTTGTGATCAAAAAAAATAATTCGGGGTAAATTTGTCACAGATCAGTTTGGAGTTTTTCGTGGAATTAACCGAAAATCCATATATGATAAAAGAATAGTCGACCCCTTCTTCTTTCGCTGTGATTTGTATTATCGTTTGTTTTGAATGACCCATTTTGTTAACGAAAGCTCTCTATTGATTCTTGAACGATGAACGAGAAACCCAAATTCCATGAAGAACCAAATTCGGTATCCACAAAATCACAAAAAAAGGACATTATAAGTGTCATGATTTTCGTACGGTGCTTGCTTTAATGCCAAAACTTTCCACTGGATCACTTAAGTAACAAATTGAAGAAAAACTATCACTTAAGTGCCTCCGATGACACATTACGGCCACAAGTCTACATGACTTTTTTAATTAGATGTTTATTCCAACGTGGCTTTTTTTAAGGGTTAATACCATGAAAAACCCCAAACTGGTATATCTATAAAAAATTTACCCCAAACTAATTTTTTGACTACCAAAAACCTTAAACTAGTAGAATTGTGACAAATTTACCTCCGTTAAATTGAATTAATACAAAAAAAATCACAAACTAGTACACCTGTGAAAAATGGAAGGTAAAACCCCAAACTAGTACATTCGTCAACTGTCTCGTGTCATTTAACTTAGCAATTTAACGGTAAAAGATAACAGAAACTAATGAATGATAAATTTGTCACATGTGTACTAGTTTGGGGTTTTTCGTGGGATTATCCTTTTTTTAATTAATTGTATATAATTACGTGGCTTTTTTATTAAAAAGGAAAGCCAACTTGAAAATTCAAGCACCTCTCTTCTTTTTAACCAAAGGACGATGTTCGTCTCGCTACTCGCCACTCCAAAAATGTTGAATGAATGCGTGATTTAATATTTAATTATTCTAACAATCCCACTCGCGCTTAATTTAATTGGGACTTAAAAAGATTTGAAGTCAAGACTTCCAGCTCTGAAACCATGTGAGATTTTGTGGGATCACTATCAACTGTTCTAAAAGCTTAAGCTATTAGATGAAAACGTGATCTAATATTTAATTATTCTAACATAATGCTCAGTGTGAAAATCGCAAGCGGAGTCAAAGGTGGGGGCAAATAGAGATCTGGCGACTCCTTCATTGGTCCACGACGGGTTCACTTGGATTGACGGCGGCAAATGACGGTCTTCGCTGCTCACTGCTTGCTTCTCATCATGCACTTTAGGTTAGTCTTCAAATTAGTAACTTTGAGGGCTCGTGGCTGCTGCCTATCTGGTTCACGATCTATTCTTTTCTTTGGTCTCAATTTTATGTTCAAGCTTGAATATTGCACTCAGAACTTGCTGCACTAATGGGTTGGGGCCCGTCACCGGGTGAGAGCAAGGATCATCGGCCGTTGACGGCAAAGTAGGGAGCGGTGACGCCACCCTATGCTCTATTCGCCCTTGTTTTTTTGTAGCCGAGAATCGCGAAGTGATTAAATCTTGTTTAAAGCTCCGTTGGTGCTTGAGGAAAAATTATCAAAACAGTTCTAAACCTATTACAATTATGTCAATTCAGTCCTAAACCTTTTACATTTGTGTCAATTCAATCCATTTGACCAATTTTGGTCGGGTGGTACTGATGTGGTAATTTTTAAATATTATTTTCTAATTTTTTAATTTTTTAAATTGTTTCTCTTTCTCTTTCTTGTTTCTTTTCTTTTCTTCTTCCCCTAGCCAGTCACCAGTCGTTAGACCGGCCAGGGGCTAGGGCTGGCGTGGTCACCTCGCCATCGTGGGCAAGGTCGGCCATGGCGAGGGTGACGACCTCGCTAGATTTTGGCGAGGGTGACGACCTCGCCATCGCAGGCAAGGTCGGCCATGGCGAGGGCAATGACGGCCATGGCAAGGCTCGACCTCACCAGATCTGGGAGAGGCTTGACCTTGACTGGTCAAGCGGAGGCTCGACGACCATGGCCATAACCGTTGAGCTCCGGTTCCGCATTTGGGTCAATGAAATGTGACTCCAGTCGACGCCCCCTCGAGCAACCTCAAATCCAATTGTCCGTGGGTTTTCGTCGTTTTCTCTCGATGTCGTCGCGCAACCAGAACAGGCCGCCTGGTAGTTCAAACGCCGTGAGTATCAATCCCCACCCCCGACCTCTTGGGATGTTTTTGCTTTGGCATTTTTTTCTGTTCAACTGTTATGGCCATGGTCGTCGAGCCTCCACTTGACCCATCGAGGTCGAGCCTCTCCCAGATTTGGTGAGGTCGAGCCTCGCCATGGCCAACCTCACCCGTGACGGCGAGGTCATTGCCCTCGCCATGGCCGACCTCACCCACGACGGCGAGGTCGAGGCTCGTCTTGGCCAGTGCCAGCGAGGTCTAGCCCCTAGCCGATGACCAGCCAAGGGAAGAAGGAAAGAAGGAAAGAAAAAAAAAAGGTAAAGGGAAAAAAAATTTAAAATTTTAAAATTTTAAAAATTGCCACATCAGTGTCGGCCAGCCAAAATTGACTGAATAGACTGAATTGGCACAAATGCAAAAGGTTTAGGACTAAATTGATAAAAAAAAAAAGTTTAGGATTAAATTGGCACAATTGCAACAGGTTTAGGACTATTTTGGTAATTTTCTCGGTGCTTGATTTTAGCAGCCAAGGAACCTCTGTCGCGACCGAACTCCCGCGCCCTTTTTTATCGAACATGCAAAAAAGGGGGCGTTCGCCTGGTACGTGCTAAGTCTAGTTTTGGGACTTAACTCGGGCTCTCCCAAGCCCATACCATATCGCGACTTAGGGTTTAAGTTTCTTAACATGCCGGTGATTTATATCAATGAGTCGCCACTAATCGATTTGGGGTGGGCCAATTAGAAACCCAAATAGGGTGATGGGAGAATCACCCTATTCCTGCGAACCAGAGATTAACTGAGTTCGAGGACTTGGTTACACTAGTTGGATAACTAATGCCCTTTCGGTACCTTTTTACCCTGTTCATTTCTGAAAACATTTGTCAGGCAATTTGGATTGATTTTAGGACCTTTCTCCTAACATGTGAGGTGATCAAGCGAGTGCATAATCAGAAACGATCAGCAGTCAGGAACACAATAATTCATGCAGCCTAAGGTTCTAACCTTAACTAAGTCAGATGACATTCAAAACACAACTCATGCAATTGTATTAAAAACATGCATAACAATACAACGGTAATAAAAACTAACATGCAAAATATTACCGCGCAATCTCAAACTTGTCTAATTTAAACAAGACAAAAATATGCATAATAATACTACAATAAATTAAACATTTAGAATATATCACACAAATTTAAAAAAAAAAATTTAAAAAAAATAAATAAATAAATACGAAAAAAAAAAGTAATTTTTTATAATTTTTTTAAAAAAAATAAAAATAAAAATAATATAATATAATATAATAATAACCGGGTCGGGTCGGTCAGGTCCGACCCTGGTCAACGGACCCGACCCAGGCGTTGACCCGGGTCGGGTCGGTTGATCCGGATCGGGTCGGAACCGACCCGGGTCAACGGATCCGACCCAGGAGGTTGACCCGGGTCGGATAAGTTGATCCGGGTCAGGTCGCGGACCCAGTCCGGGTCGGAACCGACCCGGGTCAACGGATCCGACCCAGGGCGTTGACCCGGGTCGGATCGGTTGATCCAGGTTGGGTCAGCCCAGCGTGTACAGACACGCGGGGGCGCCGGCGGGGCCAAAATTGGCCGTCCGCCGGCCGACCCAGACCTCCGCCGGCCCAAAACCGGCCTCTGGGAACGCCACCAAGCCTCGCCGGCCACCTGGGTTGCCGTTCGACCACCGCTGGCCGGCCGGCGACAGAATTAAAAAGCGGCCTCACTGAGGCATTTCAACAAACACTCGGCGTGCGTGACCAAAACAGAGATATTCCGACCTGTTCCGGCGAACTGGTGGACTCAGGCGACCCAACATACCTTCGGTGACGACACACGGACGGCGGGGGACGGCGGTATGGGCCGGGACTCGTGCGAAACGGCCGGCGCGGGTCCCAGCCAAACCGAGTATAAAAACAGGGGAGAACAGAGGTGGACGGGACCCCAGGAAAGCTCACCGGTCGACGGCGCGTACGGAGGGGCTTCCGGCTGGTCAGGGGGGCGACGGCGACACTGCTGGCTCTTCTTTTGCTCCGGCGGAACCTCGGTATGTCTTCTTTCTCTCCGATTTCTCTCTCTGTCTCTCCCTCTCCTCCGGTGCTCTGTTTTGGCCGAGAATGACCAACCGGCCGGCGACGTCGGTTCGGTGGATCGTCGGCGACTCTGGCTCGTTTGGGGGACTCCTGCGGCTGTGTTCTTCCACCTGCAAACCAAAGATCAAAAAAAAAATTTCTTCAATCCTCTCTTTCTCTCCCACGGTCTCT